GATGGAAACATTGCAAGTATCCTGCGTACTTCATATACTGTAATCTGATTTTGTTCTAACATTGAACTTCTTCTTTATTATAGCTGGAAACAATTTTCAAATGACAGAAACCGCCTCAAAGAAAATCAGACAGAAGGACATTACATAATTAAGTTTGTCTCCCATATCTTTACCATGCTATTCGAAGATCAGTTATTTTTGGAATGTAGGTGGTGAGTCTAAGTCAAAAATTAGTGCGTTGAGTAATTGCAATTATTATTAACTTTATTGCTGGCACAGGGGTGAATCAACCTTGCAATGCTCTGCTGATCAGCTGAACCAATCATTAAGAGACGATGATCGACGATGTACCGGAAATAAAATTGATGCAATTATATCAATGGTGGATTTTGATTTGGAGATGTCAACTTTGGAAGTTTCAGGATCTCCATCATGTCCTGACCATACCCACTATGTTGGGGATAGAAATAAAACCGCCAAGATGCTAAAGATCATCCTGAACTTTATTAAAGTCAACTATCCAGGCGATTTCGGAGAGTTTAGAAGAATAAAAGTATACGGCGTTCAAATATATGGTAAATTCTATGAGCTGGATCAATATTTCCATTATAAGTAAATTCTAATTTTCTTATTCATAAATCCATACAGACCATGACATTTATCTTTATAGCATGTGTATGCCCTTTGCTGGTGTATATTATTTCAAACTCGAAAAAAAGTTCTCTTATCCAACAATGCCTACTTTGCTCTTCAAACAGTTACCAAAGTTCGCCTCAAACTTGTGGACGATGCGGGTAAGTTTTTATATGAAATGTTTGAATACATACAGTATATTGATTGATGTAATATTATTCTTGAAAATTAGGATATGATTATTTCGAGTGCTAAGAGTATGATGTCTTATATTACAAATCCTATTTCCGAATCAAGTGATGATGATTCTAAGATCGATAAAGTGAAAACTTCTCCTAGAAAAAAGAAGAATAATTAGGTTAAACTGGTTAAATCGGTGGATTGATCAAAAATTATGTATATCTATCTATAAGTTTATCTCGTATTCTTTAGCATTTATTGTAACATAATTATGCAGTGTAATGTAAATTGCATGGAATAAAAGTAGTTAGTATGCTATTAATCATATGATCCATATAATAATTTTGCTTGATAAGTAAAATTGGTTTGTATGCTACATGTGAAAGAATACATAAAAATTTTCTTTATTGGTGTTCGGAACAGAATGTGCACACGATTTTTTTTTATGTATATGGAATATAATATCACATGAGAATAAATGCGAAAGGGCAGAAATGAATACTACTCATCCAATTTCAGGGGGCGTATCCCAACCTAATCTAATCGCAAGAGGATCATCAGTTGCCTTAGTGAAATCGAAGACCACAAAATTCTGATCTCGCAAATATTTGTCAATAATCTTGGATGCTTTTTTGGATCATCTGTATATTGTTGCATAACTCTTTGGATATCGTCTCGACTTCCACTCCCTCGGAACATGACTAGATGTGAAATATTTTCACGAATTATTTTTGGCACAGCTTGATATTTTTATGTTACATATATTGGTGAGATATTTTGATGCCGTCCACTAATAAAGGTGGCTTATGCACTACACAGAATCCGATTTGCTGATCATCTTATGATTTTGAGAATCGTGATTTGAGAAACATCTCAGCGCCATGATAGTTCCTGTGAATATGCATATAGCCAAATGTGGACCTTATATAAACCCTCAATATGCTTGTAATCGAATAAAAAATGAATCTGATATTTTATTATAATATACTTGATACAAACTGCTATAAAGCTAAATATTCGCTAAAACGCTATAAATCACTACAAATCCATAATAGCTATAAACCATTAAATATGTCAGGAACTCATATTAACAGAACAAGGCCTAATAAGTGTATTGACATTATTTTAGAT